TCTTTCAGCGCCTGGAATAAAGTTACAGTACCTGGAGAGCAGTTGCGAGTTTGTGTAGTTCCTGCTACCCACTCTTGGACCTAAATTCCCCCACTGTGGGCTTTTGCCCACAAGGGGTTTACATCATTTTGCGCAATATACGTCTATTTCATTTGCCTTGTGAAAGGGGCTCTTAATGCTCAAACAGCCCAGGGGTGCATAACAGATCAGAGGAAACAGCTTGTAATGACTCAGCACTGTCAAATACCCACTTTGCCGCTTTCTCCTGCCCCGCGCAGGTGGTCCCAACTCGAGTTCCAGACCCAAGCACAGTGCTGCCTAAACAGAAGATTTTTCAGAGCGTATAGTGTTAAACCATCACTTGACTATTGACCCGAAACTGAAATCAAATGCCATAGACTCTGAATGTTAGTGAGCAAGTTTAATGGAGATAGAACCGGACAAGATTGTGGATGTTGGGTACCCACATCCAGAGATAGAACCGCGCGCTCTTCCTGACGGACGGTATCACCGATTCCTTCTTTCTGGCCGTGGGTTACAGTTAATGAGGACCAGACGCAGGGCGCCCTGTACCATTCCTAAACCATCTCCTAAGACTCAGGGCTTGCTGTCAGAGGGAAGTACAGGCCGGCTTAGCCGGTCTGTGGTGGTGGGGTAAAGTCAGTTATGTGGTTATGACAAGAGGGCTGTTAAGGCTCAGCTCTGTTTGGGATGACAGGGTTGCATCAAATGCATTTCCTTTGCTTCTTGTGAGATGCAAGGTGGTTAAATCCTTGTCTCTCTGCATGCACGACTTGTATGCTGCAGGTGAACCCTGTAGCCAAAACCACATTTTTCTTTCTGTTTAGATTTTTGTTTTATAATGTGCATTTTTTTTATAGTTAAACTATACAATTGCAGACACTGTATCTTTGGCCTTCAGAGTTCTGGGGGTAGGGGAAAATTATGTGTTAGGGGTTAGTTTATCAGACCTCCCTTGGAGGGAATTTGACTATTAAAATATTAAAATAGGTGCATGGATTACAAAGATGCAAATGCACATTAACAAATCTATGTGTGTCTTTCCAGTAGCATATGCAAAGTGTGAAATTCCTAAACAAAGGGGGGGGGTCTTTGTTTAAAAGAGTAATTAGTATACAGTATCAACTGCTGCCTCCTGTTTGCCGCAAACCAGTTTTGTTCAGTAGAGTGCATTATTTACGTACGGCCACTGCCAGTAGAACTTTTCACACCATGAATGCTAAAGGCATGGCTTAGTTTTAGCTTGCAATGATCTGAGGGTTTTAAAAAGAAATGAAGCTGGGTCTCAACCAGATGAGTGGCCTAAGCTCCTTTAGAAAGTCAAGAAGCAGAGGGCTGGTGGAGTGATGGATGTGTCCAGGCAGGGCTGGCACCAGGGCACAGGAAGTTGACATTAATCCCATAATAGGTGAGTGGCAGGCAGAGGAATTGAGTCCCCCTGGTTGGAGCCTCCTGGTGCTTCCAGCCTGGGCCGGTGGAAAGCCTGGTTCAGAGGGGTAGGGTAACAGGAGTCAACAGGTGACTGGCAGCCAGCAGATGGAGGCCCAGGAGAGGACAGGCCTAGGAAATCGAATTCGTTTTGATTACCAGGAGCCGAGGCATAAGGTGCCCAGGACTCTGCCTTGCCTGGGTGCCCTTGACTCTGCACTGCCATCTGAAGCTCATGAAAATAAATAGTCCGCTTGCCAGGGCTGACTGAATCAGCTCACTGTGGGTTTTGCTCTTGTGGGCCACTTGGGAGCTTTCATTTGTTATTTGGGAGGTGGCATAAAAAAGTTTGTCATTCCGTCAGCTGTGTGAGACTTCGTTATGGATAATTTGAGAATGAGACATTGCAGGATATTAGCAGGAAGGCGAATTTCTCCCTTTTTAAGTCTTCTCAGGGTTTCTTAGGAAACCTGGGAGCCTATGTTTGTAGGTGATTGCACACGCAGGGCCCGTGTGCAAGGTGTGTGTTCTATGTGATCGCAAATTCTATGCCACTGGTATTATTTCCTATCTGATTCCAAAAGTCCATGCAGCTCTCTTCTTCGTCTTCCCAAATGCCATTTTTTAAATATTTGGAGGCTTCGTTTCATTTCTTCCTTTTCTCTCTGAAAAGACAGATTGCCCAGTGTCCTCAGTGACTCAGTGACACTGGTAGAGGCTTCCAAACTGCAGAACTAAACCAGGAAGAAGTCTGTGATTTGAGAAATAACTTTGAAAAGCAGGACTGAGTGTGTACGT